GTTAATCCAGTGGGATCCCTCCTGTTCTAGCCTGATGGGGAAACAGGGCCACTCTTGGTGTTCTAGCCCCAAGAGTGACAGAGTTCCCTTCCCTGTCAGTGCTGGAATTTTGGGAAGAAGCTGTTCCAGAGCTCCCTGAACAAAGGGTCCGCCAGTCTAATGCACAGTCCTGCCCACCAGGCCATGCAGCTACCTCTGGGGTCTCGTCCATCACACTCCTGTGTCTGGCCCCTATCGGGGCTTTGCAAATGTTCCTGCATCAGGTCCGGCCATGCAAGCTACACAAGTCTCATTTTCTAATCATAGGAAGTTTCTGAGGTAGGTGTGAATGTCCTAATTTTACAGATGAGCATGAAGTGAACCATTCACCCCAGATTTCTCAATAGGAAATGGCAGGACAGGGATTTGAACTCTGTCTGTCTGCCTTTCTTGTATTAATTATTCAACAAATATTTATTTATTTATAGTTGTAGATGGACATAATACCTTTATTTTATTTATTTTTATGTGATGCTGAGGATTAAACCCAGTGCTTTACACATGCAAGGCAAGTGCTCTGTTGCTGAGCTATAACCCCAGCCCAACAGGTATTTACCGAATATCTGTTGTGTGCCAGGCAGAGTGCTTGGTGCTGGGCATAAGATGGTGAGCAACAACAGAATCCCCTCCCCTGGGGCTTGGTGTCATGGGCTCCTGGTATCRTGGAGACAGCAATGAATAATCRMGACATATGAATGTAAAATGACAAATCAAGAGAAGAAAGGAGCCAGGTGTGGTGGTGCACACCTRTGATCCTATTGGCTTGGGAAGCTGAGGCAGGAGGATCGTGGGTTCAAGGCCAAGCTTAGCAAAAGCAAGGCACTAAGGAACTCTGTGAGACCCTAAGTAAAATAAAATAAATATGGCTAAATAAAATACAAATAAAATCTCAATAAAATACAAAATAGGGCTGGGGATGTGGCTCAGTGGTCAAATATCCCTGAGTTCAATCCCTGGTACCTTCCCTCCCCACAGAAAGAAAAGAGAGAGAGAGAGAGAGAGAGAGAGAGAGAGAGAGAGAGAGATAAGAGGTGGTTGGGTCTCTGAAGGTGTATAACTGAGGAATTGACCTCACTGGGCACTCAGGTGACCCTGGGGACTGGTCACCTGGCACAATGCCAAAGGGTGACTAAGCCAAGAGAACAGTGAACTGCAAAGAAAGTACAGCACATGCAACAGGAGCAGGAGGGAGCATAAAATATTTAGGAAACTGATGGGTTAGGGCTAGGGTTAGGGTTAGGGTTGGGGTTAGGGTTAGGGCTAGCCATCGMAGCTGCAGTGCAGAAACCAAGAGAACAAGTAAGACATGAGGTCCAGCAAGTATTTACTGTGTGTCGCTCTCGGCACCGTGCAAATATCACCTCATGCCATCTCCGTGACTGCCCTGGAGAGTGGTACTGCTACTGCRTTCCCATCACCTGGATGGAGGAACTGGGGTGCAGAGGAGTGAATCAGTTGCCCCCAATCCTTGAGCAGGTGCATGTGGAGCCCATGGGAAAGTTTGTGGTGGTATCCCAAGATGAGGGGAAAGGGTTTTAAGCGAAGCGGAAATCAGGTGTGTTTAAACAAGGCTGCATTAGTGGGGACGCTGAGGTTGGGGATGGAGAGAGAGCTTGATCCAGGCAGGAGATGTCAGCCCCTTAGACCAGGGTGGGGCCCTGTGATGAAGAGGAGTGGATCAGAGGGGAGGAACTGACCAGGATTCACAGCTGGGGAGGGTGGAGGTCTCGTTCCCAGGTGTCAGCTGGCCCAGCCGGGGGTTAACAGAGGTACTTCCTGGGACAGGTGAAAGTGTAAGGAAGTCCCCAGTTTGGGAAAAATCATGAATCCAGTCTTGGACTGAGAAGTGTCCCAGAGCAGATGTCAGGGGGACTTAGGGGTTGAGAGCTTCAAGGAGCAGGCAGGCCTGGTGCAGGGGAGTAGTCACTGATGATACCATGGCTGTTAGCAGTGTCACTCGGGAAAGGAGGATGGCAGAGGAGGGCTGGCCTGGAGAAYTCCACCTTTCATGGCCGAGCAGCAGAGAGATGCTTGGCTAGAGGTGGGAGGAAAATGAGGAGGCAGGGGATCGGGCCAAGAGGAAGAGGCTATTTCTAGGAGGGAGTGGCCCACAGAGGCTGGTGTACCCCAGGAGGACAGTGAGTTTGGAGACCCCAAAATGTCCAGCCGCTTTCAATGTGGAATCATTGTTGAGACTGGGGGACTTCTGTGGTCTGAAGTGTGTGGGGGTTGAGGAGTAAGCAAGGGCAGTGGACGAGGACAATGAACGTGGACATCTTTTGAGAAGTTTGGCTGTGAAGAGGGGAAGAATGGCGCAAGATGCAGAGAGATGTGGGGTGAGGGAGGGAGGGAAGGAGGGCCACGGTGCAGGAAGAGTCATTTGGGGGTCATGGAGGATGCTGTGGGCCCACAGTGAGTCCCCCTTCTCCYGGACTGAAGCATGAATTTCTCCAGTTGCTGGGAAGATTGGCTGCTGACAGTTCCCATCTGAGCCTCTCTCCAGGATGACCCCTGGGCTGAAAAGAGAACTGCTTTGCCCAAATCCACACCACTCAGTGAGACGACTGGCATCCAATAYGGTGGTTTGAAAGCCTGACCCTTTGCTTGAGGTCTGTGATGGGCCTGAGGCCCAGTGGACCTGTCTTCATCTGCACAGGTGCTGGCCCTGAGTGCATCCAGTCTGCCTCCTTCTTGTTTCCGTTTCCTGGGGGAATTCGGCCCAAGMCGGCTATTCAACGTGTAAAAGAGAAACATGTCCAATGACAGTGGATGTTTCCTGGAAAAAAAAGGAGATCCACTGTACCCTGGAGAGATGAGTGCTCTGAGGTACGGGGGAAAGGAGGAAAGGCAGGCTGTGGTGAGGAAGGGCTGAGCTTTCTGGTAGAACATGAAATGTGCCCACCGCTTTGGGGAGGTAGAGGCCGCCATTGCCAAGAGGGAGGGAGGGAGGGAGGGAGGAGTCCCGGAGTCAGAGGAGCATGAAAACCTGAATGGTTGTTGCAGAAAGTAGAGAACAGAAACCCTCCCACATGGCTGCTGGGATGTGAAATGGTGCAGCTACTAGAGAAAAGTCTGAGGGTCCTCCAAAGGTTGGACTCACCTGGGATCCTGCAGTTCCAGTCCTAGCTAGGTCCCTCAGAGAACTGAAACATGAGGCACTTGTTCACATTCCTCTGGGCAGACGAGGAGCTAAGGAAGGGAGGGGTGGAGGGATGGAGAGGACCCATGTTGCTGCAGATCAAGGAACATGTGCCTCAGGGAGGACACAGGCAGCTCACAGGTCCACTTGCACGGATGTGTCCACCAGACCGAACAAGCCTGGGGGCTCCGTGGCCCTTTCTAGAGTAGCTCAGGGGCAGAGGCCAGGCCAAGGAGGACTTAGGGCATCAGTGAGGTTGTGGGGGAACCTTTTTTTTTTGGAGGGGTACCAGAGATTGAACTCAGGGGCACTCAACCCTGAGCCACATCCCCAGCCCTATTTTGTATTTTATTTAGAGACAGGGTCTCACTGAATTCCTTAGCGCCTCACTTTTGCTGAGGCTGGCTTTGAACTCATAATCCTCCTGCCTCAGCCTCCTGAGTTGCTGGGATTACAGGCGTGTGCCACCACACCAGCCCTATCACTCCTTCTTATGACTCTCCCCAACCAGATAGAKCTGAGAGAGGGCAGGTTCTGTTTCTATGCATTACTGTGTGTTTGGATAAATTCCAGTTCCTTCAAAATATACTCAATGGCTCCTGCAAGGTTCACCATGCACCAGGCTCAGTGCTGGGACATGTGGCTGAGCCTCAAACATTCGGTGATGTGCACAGTAGGTCCTCAGACTATGCAAATGGAGCTCTGGGCCAGGCTCTGACACCAACCTGCCATGGCCTCAGCTGAGATACATGTCACCTCCTCAGGGTGGTGGATGGTTTTTGCCGATCCTCCTCATGACGATGGGAGGGTTCTTGGGGGTCTCTGCCTGCTGCTGCATCGTTAGTCCCAGAGAACCTGCTGCAGTCAGAGCCTGGGGTGGGGTAAGGAGGTGACACTCCCTAAGATCTCTCTGATCAAGAATCCTCCAGCTCCTTATCTTGGTGACCCAACGTCCTTGCCAACATCAGGGAGGTCCATGGAGCCCTGCAGGCCTTGTCCCTTGCCAGCCTCTCCAGTGTCACTCACACCCATACCCACTGGCTTTCTGGGCCCACTCACAGTGGTCTATCAGATTTTATTCTCTCCACAAACATTCCTGCCTCTGAGCCTTTGCACATCTGTTCTCTCAGACTAGTCCCACTTCCCTTAATTCCTGGCCTGGTTGATTCCTCCTTATTACTGCTTGCCTCAAAGTGGCTTCTGCAGAGGCATCTCCTACAGGAAACAGTCATACCCCACCCCTGCCCCCTGGGCTTCTTCCTAACCCTTTAAAAATATATTTGAACAAGTCCTCAGTTGCCAAACGCCTGCCCGTTTCTGCCTTAGACTTGGATGGTGGAGTCCCTGTGGGGGAGTCTGTGCTCTAGAAGTCTGAACCCTCTCTGCTTAAGGCTCTTCTCACAGGATGAGGAATCTATGGGGCCCTCTGAGAGATGGAGCCTTCCTTTGGACCAGGCTCCCTCTATACAGAACCCCAGAATGCCCTGCCCCAGCGGCCCAGGCCCACTTCCTCCTGGGTCACCAGTGGAGTGACCAAGTGACAGATGATTGTAGGGGGTACTGGCCATCTGTGCTCATGGCCTGGAGCATCAAGCTTTCTGCATGTGAACCTCTCCTTGGGGGAGGATGGCTCTGAGTGTGGGAAGATACGGGCAGCAAGTGGAAGGCCATGACCAACTCTTCCTGTGCCACCATGTTTGGGTATGGATCTTGTGAGAGTCACAGAAGGTTAAATTAGAACTGGCCTCCCAAGTCCGCATCAGAGAAGATTTGCCAAAGTAGGAGAATAGAACATATTTTATTTAACAGTTGTTAGCTTGATTGATCACTTTTAAATATTTAGACCTTGGGTACGAGGCCTCCATTTGAACTCCTAACCTGCCCCCACTGGCATGGGTCCACCTCACCCAGTGAACCCTAAGCTCCACCAGGACAGGAGTCAGCATCCTTGCCCCAGAGCACAGTGCCGGGCACACAAGAACAAATAATAAATATTGACTGAGAGAAACAAGCAGGGATGRTCCAAATAAAATGCTTGGCGAAAGCTTAATAAATATTACTGATTATTGTTGGTCAAGTCAATGAGTGGATGGGCGGGGCTGGGGATCGAGATCCAGAAACCAAGGTGGTTTGTGCATGAAGAGGGAAGGGGTCTGCTGACTCCAAGTTTCACCTCTCCTTTCCTGAGGTTGTCCTCCATCCCTTGCAGGCCTTTCCCAGGCCTCCATGGCACGGTGGGCACCAGGCAGGCACACCTGACCTTTCCTCTTCCCCCAAGAAGAACAGCTGGGGCAGTTTCACTCCGTGAGTTCAGGAAACTCCCCAGCCCAGGCACATACAGGACAGACCCAGCTGAGTTTCTTTGCTTTGCCCATGGTCCCATGCTGCGGTGGGGTGTAGGTGGCTCAAAGGATCAACAGCCCTCTCTGGAGTGGTATGGGAGGAACCTCTGTTGGGGAGTCAGATCACCCACCTGACCCTGAACAAGTCACTCTGTCTCTGTAAGCCTCAGTTTCCTCATCTGTAAAATGGGATTGAGTGTGGAAAGGTGCACATCAAGTGCAGGTGCAGGGTCCACATCCAGTGGGCATAAAGAACTTGCACAGGACACAGTGGATCAGGGAGGGCAAAGGTGCCTAATCCCAAACAGGAACCCTGACCTCACCTAGCTGACCACCCTGACCTCTGCAAGAAGCCCAAGAGCTCATCCTTGAGGCCTGGGGGAGACAGGTTCAGCTATGCGGCTGGAAGGAAGCTGTCAGTAGCTGCTTGATGGGCACAGGGCCTGGACAGGGGCGCCACCAGAGTTTCCGTGAAGGCCTTGACCAGGTGAAGGCCTGAAGAAGCCAGGAAGGCCCTCTCCAAATTCCTCCTCCTCGTGGGAGTCCCAGAAAACAAAACTCTCACCCCTACACATTCTCCCACCMGCCCAGTAGGTGGCGCTGTAATAAAGAACAGAACCTAATTAACCCTAAACACGACCCGCCAGGGCAGGGGGGGGCGGGGAAATCACATTTCACGAACTGCCCACCAGGGGTCACTATACCCTCAGAAACGAGGGGTATAGACGTCACAGTGCCTGCAGACCCAAAGAAGGCCAAGGACCTCGGAGAGCAATTCCAGTCTCCCTAGGACCACAAGTCATTTGCCCCTAGTCCCAGGTCCGCCGCGGTCAGTGGGGCGGGAAGATATCTGAGCACTGCTGCAGGATGAGCTCCACCACCTGGTTCTGGAACACCATATTCATGGTCATGGTATTCTCCTCTGTCTCGGGCCGCAGCAGCGTAGGCCCGAACACTATGGCCACGCTCTGCACCGACATGCGGTTCTGCTCGCCGTGCTGGATCACCCTGAGGAGAGATGGGGTGGGGTCGGGGCCTAGACCTGAGCAGGCAATGGGGGCCCTGGCCAGGACCTGCCCCCGCTCACTTGGCTCACCTGCACAGGTGCTGGAAGAGTAGCCGCAGTGTGTCATGGTTGGGGGTTGGCAGTGAGCGCACCAGGTCACGCACACAGCGGCTGCGCTGTGCCTGGTCCTGCAGCTCTGGCAAGGGAGGGTCAGAGGATGGGAGGGTTGGCTGGGCTGCCACGGCAATGGGCACAGCCAGCTAGGTCTCAGAGGTTGATCAGTTCCCCTGCCCTCCCCTTCCGCTGCCCCCAAYTCTCACTGATGGCTGCGATGAACTGGCTGAAATGCGAGAAGGGGAATAGGGGCTCGGGCAGCTCCCGGAAGAAGAGCTTCAGAGCGCCAGTGATGACATGAACGTCCTCCCAGCGCCCATCGTCCAGGTCCAGACGCTCATCTGCGGCGCAGGAGGAGACAGAGGATGAAGGGGAGGCTAACACCCCTTTGCACCTTGAGACCCTGGGGCAAGAACTGGGGATAAGCCTCACCGTGGTCCACCCTATAGCGCAGCTTCTGGATGGTGGCCAGGTTTCCGCTGATGCGGTACAGCCCGTCGATGTCCAGCCCTGGGTGAGAGGGAGGCGCTGATCCCAGGTGGGGCTAGAGCCRCTGGTGTTTCCTACTCAGGGCCTTCCATCCTTTCCCCCCTACCCTGCTCCCACCCAGGGATCTCCATCCTTTGTCTTGGAAGGAGGCCATCAGGCACCCGAGGGTCTGACCCAGCCTGCAACGGTTCCTACCCCGGGCCTCGACGGTCCGGATACACTGCTGCACGAAGCGCGGCACCGAGCTCCTTTCGCGCTCACACAGCACCGCCAGCGCGCAGCCGAACACCTGATCTGGGGGAGAGGCTTGTCAGCGTCGCCCCGAAGGTGCCCCGCAGCCCACCCGGTCGTGCCGCCATACCTCTGATGTAGCCCTTCTCCCGCAGCGATTGTAGCGTGGGCCGCCGCTGTARGAACCTGCGGAGCTTGTGCCGGACCTTGCTCAAGTCGCTCTCCTGGCCTCCAAGGCTCAGGACAGGTCCGGCCGCTGCAGGGAAACACAGAACCCCGTCAATCCGTGGTGTCAGGGTTGACCCAAGTGGCCCCAGCCAGGGTGACACTTCGTGGATACTCCCCAACAGGCCTCCACACACCTGCACTGGACCGAGTGTCATCCTCTCTCTCCCGCCAGCTTCCCAGGCGCTCACTGGACCCGAAATCTGCGCTGCCGGTCTCACTTTCCTCCTCAGCCGGCAGGTCTGCAGACTGGAATTACGCAGCCTCAGAGAGGCAGGGCCTGGGGCCAGCTGAGGTTCTCTCCAGGATGGGAAAGCCAGCCCTCAGGTCTGCCCTGGAGACAGACCGCCAGAGTTCTCTCTTCCCTAATGAGGTTAACTTTCCTCACCTCCTCCAGGGAATCTCAGAATTGACTTACTTGACTGCAGAGAGCCCTTAAGGTGTTGGAGAATCATATTGTTCTCTCTCACCCTTTCTTATCCTGGCCACCCTTATACCCACCTCCCAGCTCCGGGCCCCTCTTCCCACGTTGTCCTCAGCACCTCTAGATATAGTTCCCTAGAATGGCTCCTAGTCATGAACTTRCAATTTCAGCTGGGGCTGGAGCACTGTCAATAACTGCCTGCCTCTGATTCCTAGTTTTATTAGTCCTGCCAAAACCTGCACAAAATGTTGGCGTGTAGGGAATGAAGAGTCAAAAAGCCTCAGGTCATTGCCAGGTGAAGGTTGTCAGAGGGGCAGTCCCCATCTCTATGTATGTAATTGATACTTTGAACCTAAAAAATGGTAGACTCTTGAATCAATCCTTTTAAGTCTTATCTTCTAATTTTAGTCCGTCTGTCGTTCTGGCCTGAGGCTAATTCTCAAAGCATCTACTTCTCCTTCTGCTTCCTTTGAAATAGGAAAACTCCTCTGGATGTTCTGACCCCTCCTGCAGAGTCCTCCTTCGAGGACAACCCTAGGGCCCGGTTCACAGGCTCAGGGAAGGCCCTTTCTCCAGCAGCCCACCTGCCATCCTGGCTGTAAGCAGGGACTGCATTTGCAGAGAGGGGCACTCGCTCACTGGTGCCATGAAGCTCCCTGTGTGTGAGCAGAAGGTCCCTCTCACAGAGGGCACAGCTGCAATGCATAATGCCAACACCCACTCCCCACCAGCCCTGGAGACCCCAGGCTGTCCCTACCAGCTCCTGGATGCCCTGGGCAATGGCTTTTTGCCAGGTGCTGATGATGGCCTCTGAGTCATGCTGGATCAGGTACTCGGAGCCATCACGGCTCTGCAGCTGTATGGGGGGACACAAATTACTCCATCATCTCTGGTTCCCTGGGATGGGGAGGTGGGGGTACGGAGAGGGAGATAAACTGTTCCTGGCCTCAGGGACTCAGAGCCTCATGGCCCAAAGGCCTCACTCACCCCAAGCCCAAGTCTTCCTTCTCATTGAAAGCTGTGAGTGACAGCACCTCTGTTACAGATGAGCAAATCGAGGCTCAGCGAGGTTTAGTAACTTCCTCATGGGCACACAGCTAACGAGTGGTGGAGTCCAGTTCTACAGGGCTCAGTTGTCTGGTGCACTTCCTCATACCCCAGCCTGTCTCCCCATGAGCCACAGGACATGGCAGGCCTCACCCAGAGCACTGGCCAGCAAAAAAGCAAGTGAAAGAAACTCCTGTGGGAGACCCTGGCAGCTGGACTCCAGTAACGGAGGCAGTGTGCAGAGAGAGGAAGTGAAAGCAGACCACGGCCGAGCCTGGAGAACACGGCCTCCTCCTCATACGGAGGCCCTCAAAGTGTTGCCCCAGCTGTGTGGCCAGAAATTCCCACCCCTGTCCCACACTCCAGCTGGGGTAACACGTCCATTCACAGCCCTCTTCATCAAGAAGCATAAATTAAAACACCAGAGGGCAACTTTCTGCCGCAGGACTGGCGGCTCGCAGCCTTTCGGACTCGGATGACAACTTGGACGGATTGCTCACTGGCCTCCAGTTCTGAGGACCAGGCGCTGCAGGTTAATTAGAATGTCTGGCTGTGGCAGTGCACACCAACCCTGCCCTTTAGGGCCTGTGAGCAGCCGACACAGCAGAACCTGTCTCAGGTGGCAGGGAACAACTTCTCGGATCAGACAGGACTCTCTTGGCATATTATTTAATCTGCTTTTTAAAATGAAAAAAATGTTGGGGGGGGCGCTGGGGATGTGGCTCAGTGGTGGGGTGCTGCCTAGCATGTTTGAGTCCCAGCAACCACCTTAGCACCTCTTCATTATCKGCCTCCAGTTCCTCTCCATCTTGACGCCATCTCTAACGTGTTTTGCCTGGTCCTGGCTTTTCGGTGGATTTTGCCGCTTACCTCCTGGGTTTTGTTGTGATCTGCCTCACAACTTTCAGGGACTGAGGTGGGAGCATGACTAATATCAAAATAAGATAACAGGGGAACAGCAAAGGGCCAGACACGGAAGATCTCCCTGATCTCCTTGCTATTCCTGCAGAGGGAGCCTGACAAGCCTCCCCACTGCCCTGGGTTATTCCCTGGGGACCCAGTCAGACCGGAAGCAAGGATCTGGCTGGTGAGAACAGGTTTCCTGGCCTAGCCTGTCAGTTTCCTGCCTGTCAACCTGGAGTAGCTAGGAGGGCTGTGGCCATCCTGGTTCTCACCACCCTCTGAGGCAAGGACTACTGACTCAGTTGGAGAGGGAGCTACAGAATCACGATGCCAGGGCTGGGGGTGTGGCTCAGTGGTAGAGCTCTTGCCTGACATGCATGAGGCTCTGGCTTCAGTCCCCAGCACCACCACCAAAAATAAATAAATAAATAAATAACATGTGATGCCCCAAACATGGACAGATCTCTGAAGTGGGGGCAGCTTTGACTTTGAGCCCTGAGAATTCCAGCCCCAATTCTCCCCGTGTCTCCCTTCTTCCTTCCTGGAGCCTATCTGCAATGAGGCTCCCAGGCTMTCAGTAAGCCCTGTCTTTCTTCCTCCTCACTCCATCACTCACCTCCAGCACATTCTTCTTGCTGGATTTGTCTTTGGGGGCCCAGGAGAGCGTGGCCCCCTTTAGCTCCACGGTATACTCAGGAGTGGAGAGCTTGTAAGGCTGCCTCTGTAGGAGAAAGGGTGGGAGCAAGGTTAGGGGGGGCCCTCAGCTCAGACGGGTGTGCTACAGCCTGGGCTCAGACCCCCACGCGCTCTTCCTTTAGGGACAGGCTCTGGTCACAAGCAACAGTTCTGAGGAAAGGGCCTGGGGGTTTCTGGGACCCAAGATCCTGGTGTTTTGGGCCCTGGAGCCTSCAGCCTGGCTTGTGTACTCCCTGCCCACCCAGGGAGGAAAGGGGAAAGGAGAAAGGGGCACAGGAGCCCCTATGAGCAGGTGTGGGAGGCTGTCCTCTGGCTGGAGCTGTCCACCCTTAAGGACTGCTYCCATCCCCAAGGTGGCTGGAACTGCTTATCCTGGGGTCAATCTGCAGCCAGGTTCCCTTCCCTGCCAACGCACACCTCGTCTGACACCTGGGCACCACTCTCTCAGACCTGGCCAAACCAGATAGACAAAGAGCAGATGGGACAGCTCCTATCGGGGGCCCAGGTCTCACCAGGCCGCCAGCAGCTGAGGTCTTTGAGTCCTTGAAGAAGGTGAGGACGCCACCCTCCAGCACTGTCCAGGAGGCACTCCAGTGCTTCTTCCTGGGTGGGGTGGGGAATGGGGGGGGGGCAGGGCTTTAATTTGCTCCTGAGCTGAGGCCCCCTCCCACCTCCAAGAGGAGGACTTAGAGCTTAAGAACAGAGCCTGGGGCCCCTACTTGGGAGGGCTGAACTCCTGCCTCTAAYAGCTGGTAACCAAAGGACCTTGGATCAGTCACTTTATCTCTCAGTGCCTGGGTTCCCCCYAGTACTGCACGTGAAGTTGCTATGAGGACTAGGAAGAGCCTGGCATCGGGGAAGTGCTCAGGGAGCTTCACCATTAAAGCCCATCCTGCCCTGGTCTGGGTGCAGATGGGCTCTGGGCTCTCACCGGAGCCGCTTCCCCTTGTCCACTGTTTTGGTGCGATAGAGTACTCCTGCTTTGTCCAGAGTCTTGATCTAAGACAGACAAGGGGAAAGAAAGGGTAAGCCATGACAGGAGGCTAGTCTCCTCCTCAGCTGGCAGCTCCCCCAGCTGGGCCCGGTGCTGGGCCTATGGAGAAGACAAGTATATCCCACTCTGTCCCTGCCCCAGGACTTCCAGAAACCAGCCCTCATCTCTTTTGCGGTGGTCCTGCCAGGGCCTACATGTCCCTTCCCTTACTTTTTCCTCTGGAGGGCTGGGCTGGGCTGGGGTGTCACTGTCTTGGCTGGATTTGCAGATGTTTCGAGGGGCAGGGATGGGGACCTGGGGGAGAGAGACAGGCTGTCGTATATAATCCCCTCCACTCTCCCCAGTGCGCTCCATTCACCAGTTGGTTACCTGGGGCAGCTCCCACCGAACAGAGGAGTCCTCTGGGTTGTAGAAGTATGGCTTCCCCTGCTGGTCCTCCAGCTTCATCCACTGAGGGGACAGGGATGGTCAGGGCCCTGGGCCCAGCTCAAGAGGGAGGGGGAAGAAATTCCCTCCAACAGAGTCCAAGACAGTCCTAGGGCCAGGTGCAAGCCACCCGGTTCCTGGGACTGTCTTGGGGTCTGCGTGGGAGCTCTTAGAAAAGCTGCTGGGAGCGATCCTATGGCTGTCTGGGTCCATCCATCTGCAGCCCCTACCTGCTCTTGGGTGAAGTGGTTGGTGTAGATCATCTGCTTGTCCGGTCTGATGTGACAGGACCAGCCTGGGGGTGCGGCCAAAGGACAGGTGGGGCTGGGCTCACTGAAGGAACCCACGGGGGAATAGTCCTCTTCAGGGTAACTAGTCAGCAATTCGGGGTAGTCCGTCTCAGGGGTCGGGGGCTGGGGGAGCAGAAGACGGAGTCAGGGGTCTCAGTGCCAGTCCTGCCCCCGCCCCCCATAGCAGACCGGCCCCAGAAGGAGGCGGGGTCAGAGACCGGGAGGCGGCCCCGCCCACCGGGCCCCGCCCCTCACTCTCTGGTCCATGGGGCTGCCGGGGCTCAGGCCGGGCTGCATCTCCAGCTGGTCTTCGGGGTCGTCCTCCCAGGCGGTCTCGCCCGTCAGCGCGTTGTAGAAGAACACCCTGCGGCTCTCCTCGTCCCAGTACTGGCCCCACTCGCCCTCGAGGCTCTCGGGGCTGCCCACTGAAGCCGGAGAGGTGGCCGGGCTGGCGGGGCCCTCCGMAGCCTCGAAGGGCGACTCCCAAGTGGTCACGCCCGTGTCGGGGTTGTAGTAGTAGAGGCGTCCGGTGCCCGYGTCCGTGTGCGTCTCCCACACCGGGCTGGGGCCGGGGGCTGCGACAGCGCGCGGCGAGGTGGCGCGAGGTTGCCGCTCTACGTTCGCGTACACCGGCTCCTGGGGGTCGTCCGCCTGTGCCAAGAAGGAGGAAAGGTGACTTTCAGGGAAGCTCCAAGATCACATAGTGCTCACTTGGCCACTTGCCACCAGGGCGACCTTCAGCAAGTTCCATTCTCTCTTGGATGGTAGAGAGATACTGAGGTCCTCAGCTTGGGGCAAGAGAGCCAGTGCTGCTACCTGCTAGTGGCCACGGGGAGGGAACTGGAGACAGGGGAGAACCAACATAAGGAAGAGTGTGGGGCTGGGCAGCTGATGTGGTGAGAGCCAGGGTCCCTCTTGGCTCTGTTCTCTGGCCTGAGGTGGGGAGATGACTTCCTTTTTCCCACTTGGTGTCTTCTGTATCTCTAGGGTACAATCCAAGAGCCCTTGGTGCTGTCCTCAGACCCCTGTGGATGGGCTGTGTCTGTGTCTGGGGCTCCAGGAGTGGGGGGCCAGTGTGGCAGGCCCTGCTATAAGCCCTTGGAGGCCAACAGGAGGGCCTGGCCCCATCTGGTCCCTAAGATCCAGCCAGAACCAGCTAAGACCCTTCCAGGACAGGAAAGCAGCTCTATCTTAGCACCATAGGGGCTCTTGAAGAGTCTGTGGGGCCTCAAGGTGCTGCAGATCTGTCCCCTCCCAGGGGCTGCAGCATCTGAAACAGGTGTGGCCCCTGCCTGCTGGTCCCCAGAGAGGGCAGCCTAGTCCTCCTAATGCTTCCTTCCAAGTGTTCTACCCTGCCCCCACAGTGTGATTCTACATATTCTCTTCTTGGTGACAGCTCTGTCCCACTGGAGACCTAATCTTTCCCCTCTGAAATCTAGTCTATACCTGCTAGGGTGTGGAAATCCCTGATCCAAAGTGGCTTCCATGCCCCTCTCCATGGGTCCTCCCAACCCCTGCCTCAGTTTTTCTGGGTGTCAAATGTCTGYTCTGCCCATTCCAGAAATTGTAGTGCCAACATAGAATAAGGAAATGTTCTTGAAAGTGCTTTGTGAAGTAGTTTAGTGCCACAGATGGGTAGGACGATTTACACCAATTTTTAAATTAACAATAATGAAACAATGATACCCCAGTTCTCACAACTGTACTCCCAGAGGCCAGTGAGAAGTTGGGCAGGAACAGAGAAATGGCCCAGGACSTGTCCCTTCTGTGGTTTCCTTTCTTGGACTTGTTGCATTCCACAGCCCCCAAAGAGCCCACCACTCCCACTCCAGACCAGAAAGAGCTGGGATTGCCTGCTGCCCCGCCTCTGGATTTAGGCCTGGAACTTTCTAATGTGGTGTTTGGAGTGGCAAAGAGGGAGATGACAGTCAGATGGGCTAGAAAGGRGACAAACAAAGGTGAGTCCCTGTCTCCCTTCAAAGGAAGAGGGGGCAGGTGGGGTCTGTCACGTGGAATACAAGCCTGGCCAGGCATGAGCACCCTTAAGGAACAGAAGCTTACCTGACTCACACCTCCTGGCTCCCTGCTGGCTGCAGGGCAAAGTCACAGCCTTGTGCAGGCACCAGAGGCCGCCTATCCCTGCCAATGCTTAAGCCTTATTTCCTGCCATTCCTTGCCCCTGGCCTTGAACTTTGAGCTCTAGTAGCACCCAGCAGTTCCCCACCCTCCCGAGGTGTCCTGCGGGCAGTAGCTCATTCACAGCAGCCCAACCTCCACCCTTCTCACCCTTCTCCTCCTGCATCAGGACTCTGTTCAGGTGCCAAGTCCAAGATCTATTCTGAGATTCCTCTGGTGTGCCCACCGCACCCAGCCAGCAACCTCAGCACCTCCCAGAGGGTATATAACTATATCATTAAACCTCAAGCAGCGAAAAAGCATGTGGGGATGAATACTGCTTTCTAAGGATACGTAATGCTCCAGGGCAAAACGGTAGGCCTAATATAATTCCAATTTTGTATTTGGAAATCATCCAAAATGTTAACAATGGTCTTAGCTGAGCAGGGTGRTCAGAGGGGTTATATTTGTTTTCATTTTGTTTCGTGTTTTCAGTGGTGCTGGGACTGAACTCAGGGCCTCTCGCATGTCAGTGACTGTTCTTCCACTGAGCCACATCTCTGGTTTTCTTTTTTTTTTTTCTTTAAACATTGTGTAGCCTCAGAATTCTGTATAATAAAATTTCGTTAAAATCACAACAGTGTCTCTGTTGACTGTGACACCTCTGAGAGGGCAAGCATGTCCTTCTTACAATGGGCTCTCTCTGGGCCATAGACAGGCACCTCAAAAMCCTTCATTTGTTCAACAAAGATTTGCCTGCTGTGTTCGGTGCCAGGTGCTATTCCAGGCACCAGGAATGTAGCAGTGAACAAATGGCCACAAAACCCCGTGGGGCAGGGCTGACCCTCCAATGCAAGTGTGTGCAAATGGTCGTGGGGGGTTGACAGTGAAATGTACAGTACATCAGTGATGAATCCCGCTAAACAAGAGARCGAGACACTGTCAGAGAAGGCGCATTGCAGTTTTCGACAGGGTGGCTGTCCCGAGGCACATGGGCTAGGGAGAGCTCGGACACCAGTCTACCAGTTCCTTGCCCCTCCCCTTCACCCCTCCAGGCTCCTTTGTGGCTGACATAGGACCCTCCACCCCACTTCTCTTTCCTTCTCCCTTCCCACAGGCCTCATGTGGCACCCTGTATTCCAGCCACACCAGGCCTTCGCCCACCTCCAACACGGAAGGCACCTTCCTACCTCCATGCTTTGCTCCGGGTGTTCTCTCAGCCTGGATTCTCTCCCCTCACTCCCTGAGCACCCAGATCCCGCCCCTCCACTGGCCTGAGTTCACAAGACTCAGGAGAGGTCTAACCTGCCTGCCTTTTTCTCCTTGCTCTGTCAGGGCCCACTGGCATTCCACCTTGGTGATCAATTAGCTGCCTACTGGTCTGCCTGCTCCCTCCACCCGCCTCAAGGCGGGAGTTTCTCAGAGCAAGATGCAGGATAATGCCAGGGATTCCATTTGCCCCCAGCAGGTAGGCCAATGCCCCCAAACAACACAGCAGATCTGCCAAAAACACTTACTGCTTTAATACACCAGTCAATCCTAGGCCAAACATTACACACACACACACACACACACACACACACACACACACCACAATAAAAGACAACTTGGAGCAAGAGCTTCCTGAGAATGACAGTTTGAGCCATAGAACCCAGAAGGAGGAGAGGATGGAGGCCAAGGAGAGGAAGGGGAATGAACCAAGGCAACTCCTGCCCACCCAGCTGGAGCCACGGCGGCAGTGGCCTTGCCTATCTCTGGACCAGGCAGGGGCTGGGAGGACCCATGGAGAGGGGCATGGAAGCCACTTTGCATCAGGGATTTCCACACCCTAGCAGGTACAGACTAGATTTCAGAGGGGAAAGTATAGGTCTCCAGTGGGACAGAGCTGTCACCAAGAAGAGAATATGCAGAATCACACTGTGGGGGCAGGGTAGAACACTTGGAAGGAAGCGTTGGGAGGACTAGGCTGCCCCCAAGTTACAGGCCCAGGGGCCCTCTCTGGGGACCAGCAGGCAGGGGCCACACCTGTTTCAGATGCTGCAGCCCCTGGGAGGGGCTGTTCTTCCACTGATACCATCTCTGTTTTTTTTTTTTTTCTTTAAACATTTTGTAGCCTCAGAATTCTGTACAATAAAACTTCGTTAAAATCACAAAAGTGCCTCTGTTGACTGTGACACCTCTGAGAGGGCAAGCATGCAGCACCTTGAGGCCCCACAGACTCTTCAAGAGCCSCTGTGGTGCYAAGATAGAGCTGCTTTCCTGTCCTGGCAGGGTCTTAGCTGGTTCTGGCTGGATCCTAGGGACCAGATGGGGCCAGGCCCTCCTGTTGGCCTCCAAGGGCTCCTATTGGCCTCCACTCCTGGAGGCCCAGACACAGCCACAGCCCATCCACAGGAGTCTGAGGACAGCACCAAGGGCTCTTGGGTTGTATCCTAGAGATATAGAGGACACCAAGTGGGAAAAAAGAAGTCACCTCCCACCTCAGGCCACAGAACAGAGCCAAGAGGGACCCTGGCTCTCGCCACACCAGCTGCCCAGCCCCACACTCTTCCTTATGTTGGTTCTCCCCTGTCTCCAGTTCCCTCCCCGTGGCCACAAGCAGGTAGCAGCACTGGCTCTCTTGCCCCAAGCTGAGGACCTCAGAGAGAAGAAAAGAGGCGAGAAAGGAAGAGTCTTTGAGTTCCTGAGACTCCCTGTCCTGAGTCCCACTCATCCAGCTCCTCACAGCCGTGAGTAATAGAGGTTCACAGCGTGCCCCTCAACCCCAGAAGGCCCTCTGCTGCCTATGGAGGCTGAGATTGCCCCCCAGGGCCACCATCCCTACCTGTGCCCGTAGGGCTCGACTCTGCCTCCTGGTCAGTTTGGCAATCATGTCCACCATCCTGTCCCCTCTGAGCCCTGGGAAGACTTTGGGGATGCARCCAAGGGACACAACCTCAGGGCTGGCACAGGGCAACAGGGAAACAAGAAGTTGCCTTGAGATGGCGGTAGGCAGAGAGCGCAGCCCATTTCCTGTCAGGGTTGCGGAAGTGCTGCTGCCTGAGACAGAGGCTGCGGGAGGCAGAGGTGGGGGCCTGCAGGTTGTGGGTATTTTTACTACTGGCTGCTGCTCTGAGCTGCGAGTCCCAGGAGGAGTTCTAAATCCCAGGCCCAGACAACACACAGAGCCAGTCACATTTGAGTGGGGGTGAGGGGGATGCTGCACATTTGAGGACCAAGCAAAAGGGACAGCTGAGGGCTCTGGCCTGGGCTGGTCTGCAGTAGTAGCGCCTGGGCTGGAAACAGGGACAATAAATGGCTGTCAACTCCCCCAAGGCCCAGGGAGGATGTAAAGGGAAAGAGGAAGCCTGTGGAGGATGGGAAGGACTCCTAAAGAGGAAGGGGCTCCGGGCAGATRTGGTATTAGGGCACTGGTGTCTGGACCCTGCACACCACCGACAGAACAGAAGTGGTGCTGGCCACACCAATACCTGATCACAGATTTGGTCCCCAAGRGGCACCTACCCCCTCTCGTCTTTGTGCCCATGTGCACCCAC